ATCAGCTTCCAAATAGGTTCTTATTTATCGTCTGGTTTTACACAGAGACAAAGGATGGGCGTGTGCAAGGAAGCGCAGTAAGAGCCGGGAACCCCCACTGTGCCCAGCCACTGCCGGGCTCTGCTAGTGCACACTCACATTTCTATTCAAGTCACCCTTGTGAGGTAGGTTTCACTGTCACCATTGTCCCGGGAGAGACAGGCTTCGCAGGTAAATGACCTTCGCTCTGAGTCACGGAGCTCACGCTCTCCATTTTACTCCTGTGGGGCATCGGCCGGACTCCCCGGGCCTCTCAGGCGCCTCGGGTGGAATGGCCAGGGATGGCCTTTTGTTCACAGCAGAGGCCGCTCGGTCCCTTCTCAAAAGCACTGGTTTCTCTCCAAATGGGTCAGAGTGCTTCCAAGGATTTGCTTCCTCGAGAATCACAGTCGGGACAGAAAAAACAAATGATTCCTTGCCCTGGGATGAAGTTTCCTTCAGCAAGGAAAAGGGGCGGCTGGAGGGCGAAGCCAAGGCCCCGGGCTTGCCACCCACGTGGCCTGCCGTTGCAATTATTTGTGATTGCAGAACCATGATATCAATCAACCTCAGTTCGATTGCTTTGCCATGAGATAGGAGCAAGCCAATTTATCAAAATTGAGGCCTTCCACTGGGTTTATATTGCCATTAAACTATCAACAGGAGATCATTAGGTGAGGCAAGACACCAACTGGTAACTGAGAAGAAATGATTTTTTTCCGACATTCATGCTGGCAACCTCCTCGCTTGGCTGTCAGCTTCACCAACCTGGGGCTGGGCCTTACGTCTGTGTGCTGATGTGCAGTTGGTGGTGGAGAGGACTCAGACGCTGGCATTTGCAATCCAGTGGCTGCGCCCAGGTGACTCGGTTGTCTCTCCGCAGGGCAAGCCTCACGACGATAAATGGAAGGGAAACGTGTATGCATTTGTGTGATAAAACAGGCTTAATGATTCTGAAGGGGAAGGAGTCCACGAGACACACAGTAGCAACTCAGGAACAAAATGGAACCATGCAGGGCCAATTAATGTGCAAATATGTGTGTGCTGAACTTGCATTCCATTCATCATGTGGACATGGAAATTGGGCCATTTATCTGTTATATTATGTATGTGACATCTTAGTTTGGTTCTTACAGGCTGCTCTGGGACAAAGGGCCATGTGCTTTGCGGCGAGCAGAGGGAATTTAAGATAAATTCTTCAGCTGTCATAAGCATTGCCGGGCAGAATTGGTCAGAAGATAAAGCTCTTTCCTCTGCAGGGTTTGAACATTTCTCAACAGTCCTCGTGCCATCTTATTAAAATGGTGTGTGGTGCGGGGAGGGGCGGCATATGCCATGAAAAATCGCTGGCACAAACAGCTCACTGTCGTGTTTTCAAAGTCCAGATTTAGCAAACGTTATTCACATCGCCGCTGTCAGTCTGCAGAGAGAAAGAGGGCTGGCGACGCTATTCATTCTCCCCGAGTCTGTGGGTTTGTAATTCTTCTTGTCTCCCTTTAACCAATGACTCCTCCACAGGTGGGGTTTGTTCTGCTTAAATTACAACTGTGTGTACTTAGGGGGAAAGTCGCAGGCGGAGGAAAAGAACCTCGTAGGAGCGCTTTCCCAGAACCACTATTATTTACCTAACAGGACCTGCCACGAATACGGATTGGACGTTGCTTTGATGAATTGCCATTAGAAATTCAATTAATAAAAGGTTACCTCCCCGCAGTAGTGCAAAAAATATGATCTGGCTGCAGCAATTACAATTTAGCCTTAGAAACAATGGTTAGGAGAAAGATGGGTTTTTTTTTTTTTTTTTCCTAAACCTGGTCCATCTGGGAAAGAAGAATTTGAGGTAAAAATGAATGAAAGAAGAGAGGAAGGAATGGGTGAATGAGTGCATGCATTCGTGAGTGGATGAGTGACTGAAGAAATGAATGAGTGAATGGATGAATAAGTGAATGAGTGAATGAATGGGTGCATGAAAGGGTGAGTGAACTTAGGTTCATTCTGCCAGCAGCCTGGTCTCCGTGCCGAGCTTTCCTACACTTCTCCACTTTGCCCACCTGATCACCGTTTTCATCATCCTGTTTCATACTCTGTTTTCCTTTTCCATCTATTATTATTACCATGCACAGTTTTTGCCCAGCAGCCTTCTTCCCGTGGTATGTAAATGGCCCACCACAGCCATGTACGCTTACACGGGAGCACAGCTTCGGAGATATGCATGATTTGGCAATTCGGTCATCGTGTGGTCTTTGTGGGGTGCAAATACACGAGCCTTGGCACTGTGATACGGTCCACCATTGACCGGAATGCCAGGTGACACGTGACTCTATCAAGGGCCCGCATCGTATGTGCAGAGCTCCTTGGAGCTCACATACACAGTCACCTGTGCCGCCACTCCAGGTGAAGATGTGTGCTGTGTCCACTCCCCAGGAAGGGCTCTTGTGCCCCCAAGTTAGTCAGCATCTCCCAGGGGCGACTCTGATCTTCAGAGACCAGGGCTGTTTCTACTTGTGTATAAATGAAATCATACAGGATATATATTTTTGCTCAAACTTGGTTTTCCATTCCACATTATGCCTTGGAGGTCCACAAGGCTCTCGTCTATCCATAGGTGTTTCTTTTTGATTGTTGTCTTATATTCCACTGCAGGAGGATGTCACAGTTTATTATCCTGCCATGGGCATGTGTTTTGTCTCCAGTCTGGGGCTATAATAAGCTTCTAGGAAAATTCCTGTATGTGATTGTAGAGGACATAGCATTCATTTCTTTCGGGCACACAAGTGGGAATGAAATTGCTAGATCATTAAGCATTATTTTGCCAGTGTTGAAAGTATTTCAACCCTCTAAAACTTCTTTTCTAAATCTGAAAAGGGTGATAAATATCCTGCCGTATGTGATTTCTGTGAAATTGAAAAGGGGCACATGGGTAAAGGTGTTTTATTGTTGACTGATTGTTCTACCAAAGGCGGCACCAACGTGAGGCTGTGTCCACAAGAAAGAAGAAAGGCGGAGGCTCGCAGACACAGCTCCTGGGTGGCAGTGACCACAGAGGCCCAGGACAGAGTCAGGTATGTTCCAGAAGGCAGAGTGAGCCCCTAGAGAATGGCTGGACACCCACCAGGCACCAGAGGTGATGTGGGTGGTGTATGTCTGAGTCTCCCCAAATTCATACACTGGAATCCTAGCCCCCGAGGGGAAGGTATGAGGAGGTGGGCTTTAGGGAGGTGGAAGGTGATGAGGGGGGGGCCCTCATGAATGGGATTAACAGCCTGATAAGAAGAGTCAGGAGCTCCCCACCAGGTGAGTTCACAAGATGACAAACCAGGAAGGGAGCCCTCAGGAAGGGTAGCCCCTCTGCCGGCATCTCAGCCTCGGCCTTCCCAGCCTCCAGAATGGTGAGAAGTAAGTGGCTGTGCCTTAAGCCCAAGAGTCCACACTGCCTGTCACAGTAGGCTGGTTGAGACACATTCCCTATTTCCAAGTACAGTCCTGACCCCAGTTCATGGCCCCCGGCCCCCAGGAGACAGGGGTCAGGGAGAGATGCCTGGGTTTCCTCCCGTGTAAGGTGGAGAGGCCACTCAGGGCTTCCTGAGGATTCTCAAGACGACGCACAGTCTTTGCATGATGAACGGAACACAGGAGGTGTCACATGCACGGAGGCGGGGTCTAGTCATGCAGCCCTGGGGGTCAGCGCCGCGTGGCCATCGTACCGCTCCCAACAACCCCATGTGACGAGCATGTTATTCTCTTTCTGAAATGGAGGAAGGCACTTTGGGTTGACAAGAGACTGGCTCTAGCATTTGGCCCTGCAATCAGTGGGGAGCAGGCGAGGCTGGAGGCTCCATCCCTTTTGCCCTTCCTTCTGCTCCCTGCACCCCAACCCTGACCTACTCTCCAGACCCCCGTCCCCCGTCCCCCAGGCAGCTCAGTGACATCCACACTGTCAGGGCGCACAGCTCCTGGAAAGCACCTGAAGGCCCAGCTACTCCACCCCAGGACCAGACATTTGCCGGGGGCAGGAACCCTGGGCCTCTGCTTCTCCTGTGCTTGGACAAATAATCAAATCAACATCAGGCAGCTCCGTAGGCGCAAAGTCTCACTGAATTACAGGTGCCCCAAGGGCAACGCGGAAAGGGGCGGGCCCTGGGCTTGGGGGCGGGGCCTCACCTGACTGGCCTAGGGCCAGGCTCCATGGCTAGAGGTCTGCTGGGTCAGAGACAGGCTTCTCCAGGGAAGGTTTTGCCAACCGAAAGGCTATTTCTGGCAATAACCCTGGTTCTGAGTCAGGGCCAGTGTTTATTCTAGGCAGTTAAAGGAGCGGCGAGTTCCTCCCAGTCTGCAGGGCTTCAGGGGACCTCAGCTCCAAAGAATCCCCAGGCCAGAGGAGGAAGTCCTGGGGAGTAGCTGGGGTCTTCCCTTGGACACGTCCCCCTGTGTCTTGCCTCATGATGCCAGGTTCGACCTCCATACCCCCACTCATCTGACCATCTCAGCTATCATGTGGTGGTGCAAGGGCAAACTCTCTTGGCAGCCTGCAGGCCGCTCCCAGCACCAGGCTCCTGCCCGGGCTCTTCCCACATAGGAACGGGGCCCAGACGGCTCCTTCACCCCAGGTGTGTCTTGGAGGTGGCGGTAAAAATGCCAGGTATGACTCCCCTTGACAGCACACAGCAGCGGAGGGCTCACCAAAGCCAGGCCAGACTCATCAATGCACATGAAGAGAAAGCCTGGCATACCCGGTACACACAGGCAGGAGCCCTGGGTGTGCGACCTCAGCCTTCTTAACCAGCCCCCGGGCGCGCAGCAACCCCAGGGCTGCTTGGGCCCTGCCAGTCCCGAACCCAGCACCTCAGAAACCAGCTGATCACACAGCATGCACACTCGTGAGGCAGCTGAGCGGGGAGCCAAGTGGACACCCACGTCACCTCATCACAAAGAAAACCACTTCAAAATGTCCTCCAGAGGGACAGCAAAACCACAGTTCCTACCTCAGCGTTGCTGGCAGCCAGGCTGGTGGAAACCTGCAAGTGAGAGGAAAATGACATTAGTATTGACGCGACGAGAAGGTAATTGGATTAATTGTCTCTTTAAAGGAGCTGGCATCAATAATATGTGAGGACCCAAGGGGCCAATGGGTGCCAATCACGCATACACAAGTGCACACACAAAGCACACACACCTACATGTGAACACACCTGCACATAGACACAACACACACAACACACATGCACACACACAATGCATGTGCAATGTCTGCACATACCTGCAAATGCACACATGCACACACAGCACACTCCTGCACACACCTGCACTTGCACACACCTGCATGTGTTCACACCTACACATGCACACACAACACACACCTGCATACCTGCAAATGCACATATGCACACACAAGGCACACAGCACACTCCTGCACATGCACACAGCTGTGTGTACATACCTGAACAAGCACACACCTGCATGTGAACACACCTGTACATGCACACACAACACACACCTGCATGCACATGCACATGACATACACCTGCATAGACATGCAGATGCACATGTGCACATGATGCACACACAACACACACAGCTGCATACACTTGCAGATGCACATATGCACACACAACACACCTGCACGTGCACATACAATGCACACATCTGCACACACATCACACCTGTGTAGGCATACTCACGCTCACGCAATGCACATACAACAAACACACACGTGCACACACGCAGGTACTTTTGCTTCTACCAAGCACTGAATCAAGATTTGATTTTCCAGCCCTGTGTATAAGGTGAAGAGGATAATTAATATTTTCAACACATTATAACAATCTTGCCAGGAAAAAAAAGGGGGTGGGCTGTGTGCAATGCCCGTGCACAGATAATGATTAAATGAACACTGAAAAAGCAAAGGCATTCAAGAGATTTTGGTGGTTTTCTCCCTTCAAGTTTCAAGTCTGTTTATGAGAAGCTCTGGGTAAAAGCTGAGACTAGTGACAACAACCTTCTTTGTTCAAAATGCCTAAAAATATCGTGAAATAAAGAGCTGTGGCAAGTTCTTGACATTTATTGTCTTATTTAATCCCCAGAAACACTCTTATTGTCCCCATTGCATCAGTGACAACCATAGACTTAAAAAGGCTAATTTTCTAAGTCCAGAAAGTGATTAAGGAGAGGAAATGATATTCAAAATCAAGATAAGTCATCCAGACGTCCAAACACCTAATCACTAGCCCATTCTGTATCAACAGATTGTATACAGACCTGCCCCCCACAACCATCACTCAGATATTTGTAGGAGTTTCCTATCTAAAAGCAGGTAAGTTGTTTTGTTTTTCCTGATAACTCAAGGAATTTTTGCTCTGAAATTTTCTAACTTACCCAGAAGACTGAATTGGCCGTCCTCAGCCATACTGCCTTCCCAGACAGTAGGATTAAACTGTGTGCCCCCACCCCCAATTCATGAAAGGTTAACCCCCAATGTGAAGGGGACTTTGGAGGCAATCAAGTTGAGATGAGGTTATGAGGGTGGGGCCCTAATGATGGGATTAGTGCCCCTGCATCCTCAGGCACGAGTCCTATTGCTCTCTGGTTCTCTAGCTCAAGTTCTCCCTCTCTCTCCCCCACCCCCTCCCTCTCTCTCTCCATGCATGGAGGAAAGGCCAGCAAGAAGGCAGCATCCTGACCCCAAAAGCAAAGGAAACAAGAGAAAAATAAAAATGGGACTATATCAAATTTAAGAGTTTCTGATCAGCAAAAAAAAAAAAGTTGTCCACAGGATGAAAACACACCCTACTGAATGGGAGACATCTGCGCATCATACATCCAACAAGGGGCTAACAGCCAAGGTTTACAAGGAACTCATACAATTCAACAACAACAACAAATCCAACAACCTAGTCACAGAAATGGGCAGGAGATCTGAATAGACACTTCTCCAAAGAACACACAGATGCCCACCAGGCACATAGGACAGTGCTCACCATCATTTATTGCAGGGAGATGCAAATCAAAACCACAGTGACGTATCATTTTGCCCGTGTGGCTTATGTCTAGAAGCAACGAGCGCTGGGGTCGATGTGGAGAAAGAGGAACCTTTGCCTATGATGGGAATGTAAATTAGTGCTAACACTTTGGAAAGCAGGTACCTCAAAATTTTAAAAGTAGAACTACTGTACAAACCGGTAATCCCACTTTTGGGTATCTACCTGGAGAATATGAAATCATTAACTCAAAGAGATAGATGCACCCCAATGTTTATTGGCGCATTATTCACCATAGTAAGATATGGAAAAACCTAATCGCCCATTGATAGATGAACAGATCAAGAAGATATGGTGTCAATACACAATGGAATGCTGCTCAGCTATAAAAAATGATGAAATGTTGCCATTTTTAGTAAAATGGAATTATACTGATTGAAATAAATCTAAAGAAGAAAGACAATAGGTGATCTCACCTATATGTGGAATATAAGAAAACAAAGGACAGATAAAACAATCAACCAGTGGACTTTGATAACAGAACTGCAGTTACTAGAGGGGCAGATAGTGAGAGTGGTTTAATGGATGGTGGTAGGGTTTTTTTAATCACATTTATTACTTACAATAAATTACATTTATGGGCCTCCCTGGTGGCGCAAGGGGTTAAGCACCACACTGTGAAGCAATTTGCAGCCTCTGCAGCACAAGTTCGATCCATGGCCAGCCAGGGAGCTACCCAGATGGCACAGCAGACCTCTCCTGTCTCCCCGCTGCTCCCCTCAGCAGTGTGTTTCAGTCAGTCTGCCTGTTCTGTTCCCCACTCTGTCTCTGGTGATCCTCTCACGCCCCCCCCCACACTTCTGGCCTGTACCCCAGCTCTTGTATGCATAAATAAATAAATCTTAAAAAAAATACATTTGTATTTTTATTATTTTGCTTAATATAAATCAATAGCTGTTCCTGGGGGGAGAATACAAGAAGCTGGCATCCAGAGCCCAAAGAGAGAGTTCTCACCATACGCCGACCCTGCCGGTCTTCTAGTCTCCAAAACTGAGAAATAAATTCCTGCTGTTTAATCCACCCAGTCTATGTGCTTGGCTATGGCAGTCCAAGCAAAGACATGCACCCACACCAGCTCACGGCCGTGAGTCCCACGAAGGGCTTAGGAAAGCAAGGATTCCTGTGTTAGCTGACCAGCTCCGGTGGCTCATGCTAGCCCAGCTTCCAGCACTGCCTCTCCCACGCACACCCCCTGCCTTTTGACCAGCCAGCCTTCACATAAGCCATTCACCCCAGGAGCAGCTCAGAGCGAGCTTGCTGTCCCCTGCACTGCTTTCATGCCTCATTAGCCTCCTAAACGGGAGGCCAGCCTTCAGACTGACCTCAGCCGAGAGTCCATTAGCTGAGTGACCCACACCCAGCCCTGGAGGAAGTTTCCAGGTGTGATGAATGTCAGGGGACAGGGGAGGCTGCCCCCTTTCAGAGCAGGGGCTGGGAGAGTAGTGATTCCCAAGCAAGGGGCTACAGATCCCTTGACCACATAACCTAAAGAGCGTGTGCGAGCGCATGAGCAGGCATGGAAGGGGTGAGTGTGATGTCCAGTGGCGCCAGGTCTCAGCAGACTCTGCTGGCTCAGGGAGCATGAGGGTAGCAGGGAGTGTGAGGGAGGCAGATGTCAGCTGACTACCCCAACATCCTCCACTTCATCACGTAGTGTGCATCTCTAACTTTGTGTATCTGAGGTCGTGCAATCCCTCTCATCCTTCACCTATTTTCGATAAACATGCACGAGCACGCACAAGCCCATGTCTTTCACCTCCTTTCAACAAACACACACAAACACAGGCGAGGCTAGATCACAATTCATCAACTCATTGCAGCACTGCACGTAACTACTTTCCTAAACGAAATGTTCTTAAGTTCATAGATAAGAGAACGGTGAAAATACAAAGTCTGAACACCCAGTTGCCTACAGGGAACAAGTAATAAAAGTATATAAAGTGGGCCACCCGGGGCCTCCCTGGGGCACAGCAGGTTGAGCACAGCGCTGTGAAGCTGTCTGCAGCCTCTGCAGCGCAGGTTCGATTCCCGGCCAGCCAGGGAGATTCCCACATGACGCAGCAGACCTCTTCTGTCTCGCCCGCTGCTCCCCCTAGCAGTGTACTTCGGTCCTTCTGCCTGTTCTGCTCCCCGCTCTGTCTCTGGTGAGTCCTCTCACCCTCCCACGCCTCTGGCCTGTACCCCAGCTATTATATAAATAAAAATCTTTAAAAATAAAAATAAAGTGGGCCACCTGTAAGACAATAGGGAATGGTGGGGCCTGTGGGGAAGCTGGAGACTGCCTGCTCCACCTAAGCCATTTGCAATCCTTTCGTAACAGGCAAAATGGGGTTCCTGCCAAACAAGACACATCTGTGGTCTGGATGTGGTTTCTGGACTCCCAGTGTATGGTCCTCTGAGCCAGATCAGTGATGATATTTCCATATTATAAAATCTTAAGCTTCAGTGACAATGAATGGGGCGGAGACTAATGTTCTGATGTGGGAAAAACTCAACCTGGACTGTTAATGATGGAGAAATCATGAACGAGGATAAATAATGTGTGTCCCCATTAGACATCCCTCCGCCCCCTCCTCCCTCTTCCCCCCACCCCAGGAACAATGTCTGCAAAGCAAGATGACAAAAGGTTTACCTCTCAGGAGGAAATTGGAACTTGACTGGGACCTGATGGATTGAAGGTCATGGGGAAGCTGCTTTTCCTGAATTGTAATTTTTCACGGAGATTGTATCCATGTATTATTTGTCACATTAAATGCAAAACTAAATTTTGAGAAAAAGCTTCCCCATGCCTCAATGCTAAGAGGAGTGTCCACAGACATGTTGGCTTTTTTTGCTCATTGAGGAGGGGACAAAACACTGTCCCCTCAGTTTGTATTTATGGGGATGTGGAGTAAAAGGCGGGTCACGCGGTAATGCAACAGGGAGCAGCGGCGCTTGCGGCCAATCATTTCATTTATGATGTATCGCGCCCTATTTTAGAC